GAGAGAGAGAGAGAGAGAGAGAGAGAGAGAGAGAGAGAGAGAGAGAGAGAGAGAGAGAGAGAGAGAGAGAGAGAGAGAGACACACACACAACTTCCCAAAGCGAGGTGAAGGCATTGCGGTTGGCTAAAACAAAAAGAGAGCTGTCTTAAATGGCAGTGCAACGGCCAGTCAGGCGCACAGTCAGACAATCAGACGCACTATCAGACACACAAACAGCTGAAGGGGGACAAGGGTGGCGAGGCGCACACAACCACATCGACATGGGGGAAAAAACCACACATCTGGTACAAAATATCTGCAGCACTTCACAGAGAAAATGAACACTTCATGATATGAACAATGGCTATACAGCGGCATACGTCTGCCAGTTCAGATAGCTCTCTCTCTCTCTCTCTCCCTCTGTCTCTCTCTCTGTCTCTCCCTCACTCTATCTCTCTCTCTCTCTCTATCTCTCTCTCTGCACAGAAACAAACAAACAAATAAGTTTGATTACATTTCACATACAGCTTCAACTTTCCCCCCAATAAGTTACTTATTGAGTCCAACTTTACATCCATGAGAAACCATAACCACACAGCGCTAGTAACAACACAAACAAACAGTTGCTATGTTCAAAAAAGAGACCCAACATTGTTTTTCTCGGATATTTCACATTCTGGAAATTTCCACGACCTTCTGACTGGGGAAATCTCAGCTATGATGGTCGTAGAACATTTCCTGCTGTCACGGCAGCCAGCTCATCAGACCCACAGAGCGGAGATTTCCCCTCGGGTCAATACAAGATCTACAGCCAAGGCGAGGTCCCTAGAATGACAGGGTTTGAACCCCGCGTCTTCTGAGAGCTGAGATACACACACTACACTCTGCTGACACAGACGTCTCGCCTCACACACTGTGCAAAGGGCTCAAGGCAACCCCAACAGTATCTTTTAAAATAGGGTTTAACAACATTATAGCTGTAACAAGAGTGAATCTCTGAATCCCATTTTGTCAAGACTTAACGTCGTGGAGTAAGAACCCTGTCATTCTATGGGTGGGATATAACAACCATCG